GGCGAGCGGCGGTCCTTCGGCTGGGACCCGTGCCCTTGGCCCCGTGCTCACGCCCCCCTCCCTCCAGCTTTGCGGGGAAACTTGCGTCTCCTCGCTGCAGCTCAAGGGCCCGCGAAACTCGCCTGGCCCTCACTTCCCCGAGCTCCCAGCGTCTGGGGCTGAGCGGTGGGCTCGGCGCGGGAGGCTGGGGAGGAGGGACCCGGGACTGAAGCCGGCCCAGGGCAGCCTGCAGCTCTCGTTCTGCGGGGCTGGTCGCAGTTCCGAGCGTGCAGCCGTGTTCCCAGCTGGGGAGTCACTAGGGAGCATTTTGTTTGGGGGGCGCCCAGGCAGGGAGCCTGGTCCGAAGAGACCTCGCACTGTGGGTGATCTCCGCCTCTCTCTGCGCTAGCGAAGGAAACCCGTTCCAAGTTTCGGGGGACTAGGCTACGCCAGGCAGAACGCTCCGCTTTGGGTGCGTGTAGCCTGGAGTTGGGGTGAGAGCCGAGCGAGCCTTCGCGACTCCCTTCAGCTGACACAGGGGCGCCCGGGGCGCATTACCCCGAGGCCTGCCACCTGAGGACTTCTGGACCTTCCGCTCCAGAAAGGGCAGAAACCCGCTGGCAGTAGTGGGGTTTCTCTCAATGCCCGGCACGTGGCAAGCACCCGTGCAGCGTGTCCGCCCGCTGGAAGTGCCTGGGGGCCGGCGGAGTGGAGCCCTACTAGGCGTGTATCATCCATCCATCGCCCAGAGAGTTGGTCCCCGTGAGCTGTCCAGCCTAGCTGGCTCCTGATAACTGTCCCCGACATTGATGAATAGCGCTTCCACAGCCTCTCCTCCTCTCCCCTCTAGGTGTCGCTTCCGCCGAGGTTTCTGGCAAGGGAAAAGCAGTGCCAGTAGCTTTGGTCTGAAACCTTGGTAAATTTGTTGCAATGCTGTGTGTGCACCAGGAACCGTACTAGATGGGCCCCCGAGATACAAGCATCCATCGACATTTTGTGAGTCAAAGATAAATAGAATTTCAAGAGGAGGTGGCACGGCAACTACTGATGAGTGCCCCAGAAATGGGCCTGTATTACCATCTGTGAGGGGAAAAGGGGGATGGGGAAGAAATTCTGACTTTTCTCAAGAGTCCCTATTTTTCTACTATCAGGCTTGAGGGAAAGCCAAAGCTGACTTTTAACAGTGTCCTCTTAATCCTGGGGTGGCCTGGGACCAGCTCCGGGCCTGGGCAGTGGTCAGGTGGAGGGCTCACCTAGGAAGCCAGTGGTCAAGGGAATGTGTGGTGTGGCTTCTATGACGCTAGAGCCGCAGCAAGCCTCATGCAGTAGCTCAAACGGAAGACTTGAGCTGATGCCCACAGGGCCCATGATGTCTGCTTCTCGTCTGAGTTTTGTAAGCAGACACTGCAGCATCTCTAGACCATTTTTGTTTAGACACACTCGGCTGAATGTTCGTTTTCTTCCCATCCCAGGGGAAAAGACAGCCCCCCTCCCCGAAGATAGACCAAAATAGTCATTGATGTGATCTATTAAAACTGCCCCTTAAAATGTTGTCCCAGTGGCTTCTGCTCTCTTGGAATTTTATGTCCACCCCCAGTTTTTGTTAATCCCAGGCAGGCTGTTATTGCCTCACAGAAGGGCCAGCTTGTTCTGGGCATTCGGAGAACTTCTGTCCCTCTGGTTGTGCCCTGGAGGTGGGTGAGGGAGGGGTAGGTTGGATTTTTCTACCTTGATAAATCAGTCACTCAGGATTCTTTTCTGTCTACTAAACGCTGCAGGATTTTTTTTTTTAAGAGACCTTCATGTTGTGATCTTTTGTTGGACTTAACACGATATTCCAAAAACTGGAGTTGAATAGTCAAGATTTCCTAAAAATCTCCCTTAATTCCTACTTTGTTCTTTTGGGTATTTCTTTCCAGACTCAGCCTCCTTATGTGTGGTCAACTGTGTGCTTGCTCACTTAATGAAATTAGGTAGTTGTTTCAAGAGCACACCTTTCCTTACATTTTCTCTCTCAATGCATAACACAAGGCATGGAATGTCAAATAAAACAGAATTACAGTTGAGAGAAGGTGGTACTTTAAGAGGTATAATCTGAATGTTGGAAGGGTGAGGGTTACTGGAAGTTTTCTTTGTGTATGTTAAGCTTAATAGTAAATAGGAATGCTATAGATTAGTCTATACATTGTGCACAGACTAATTTAGGCATCTAATTTATTAATTGTTGGAACAAATCAACCAAAGATACAGAGCAGGAATTAAAAGAAAGTGCAATATAACTTAATTATGGTTTGTTGCATGGTTAGCCTGATATATTTCCATACTTAATTTCCTGGGTTGGTATTTTAGGGACTATCTTAGGAAGTTTGACCCCTTTCTTTTTTCCTAAAACACTCACCAATAAAAACTAAGGTCCTAAATCTTCCAAAAGAAATTAAAATATAGCCTCCTGGTTTTAGGTTGGGGTTTATATGGATTTTATTTCCTTTTTACACTGGGCGGGCATACAGAAGAGGACTACAGGGATTTTCAGTGGTCCCCAGTGGGTGTCTGTTTGTGGATTGCCAACATCCCAGGTGTAAAATGCAATGCACCTCAAGTAACTGGCTAGAACATACAGTTTTTCTGTTAGACAGGTTGGCAATGCAGGCGCCTCAGAGTCACAGACCTTACCAGCGCTCTTCAAGGTTGGGTGGTATCGTTTGGTTCTGCCAAATTGTCGTCACAATTTCTGGTCCTGTCCGTTAGAAAGAGAAGCCATTTCCATGTGGCTAATCCATAATGTCTGCTTTGGTAATGTTACCATATTCGGGGAGAGAGCCAGAGAGATAGAGAGAGAGAGGGCGGGCTCATCAACAGTCTCCCAAAAAGCTTTGATGGCCAGAATGTCCCCTTTTCTCAATCAGGGCTCTTCCCACAGGATAAAAGAAGTTTGTATTAAACCTGCCAGTTTAACGTTGGTGCTTCTCTCTGACCTCTGACCCTGTTCCATAAAGACAGCTTACATCCTGGCCTGTGTTCTCTGGTGGGGCAGATTTGGAATTGACATCCTCATACCAATTTCTCCCTACTGTGTTATATTTTTCGACTGCCTGCACAAAGCCAGTCAAAATTTAGTATGTTACATCATACAACTTTGTGGTGCCCCATAATTTTAAATACAAATAAACAAAAGAACCAGTGTAAGATTATATTATAAAGTCAGAAAATCTCATGGTTGTTGCAAGGATCAGGCGGATGCCCTAGTGGTAGATGCACTAAAAATAGCAAAATCAGTCAATCTAAGCAGAAGGCAAACATATTCCGTCCGTGAGTTTGCGACAAGGTAAGAAACAAAACGGTCACCTAGACCTGGGTTTAGTCTCGGTCTGGTGTGGCGTCACACGCGGCGAATTCCTTAACTCCCTGGGCTCTGGTGTTCTGTCTGTGCAGCAGACTGGCTGGCGCCTGGTTCCCCTGAGTGTGGGGAAAGTGGGGCCCAGGAGGGAAACCTCGGAGGATGCAATGAATGACTTCTCTTGGAAATGTGACGTCTTAAATATCAAGGGGTTGTGTTTTATGAGTTGTTTGAAAAGGTGGTCCCAGCTCTTTCATGAGGACGATCTTGGGTAGATTTTTAACGATCTTAGCACTCTAGCATGGACTGAATGACGTTTATAAACCTGAACTGATCTCTAGGAGCTCTAGGTTGGACAAAGAGGGTTTGCGACCTTATGGATGGTACCTTCCCATGTCTATGACCGGGAGATTCTTGTACTCCCTTCTGTCTGAAGGCCAGTAGGGCTATTTGCATTTGAGGAGTAATGTGTCGACAGGTCACCCCCCTCCCCCAAGAGTGACTGTCTTCGCCATGCTGCTGTGCCCATGAACTGAGGGGCATCCTTGTTGCCTGGCAGTCTGTGCATCACCATGTGGTTTCTTCTTGGTCGGTAAAGACAGCAGCAGTGGAAGCTGAGAGCCTTCCGAGTTGTCCCTCCCAGGGGTGGGTGCAGGAGGGGAGCAGCATGGCTTTCCCTTGCCCTGCTCCTTTGGTCTTGGTTGGATCCCTAAAAGCTGGAGAAGTGCAGCTCTTGGCAGCCTTTCCAGGAAAGGGAGGCTTGGGGCTCAAGGTCTCCTTTCGTGCTGTCCATGGATTTCTGAATCATGTTAAAAACAGCAGTTTGTCAAAATAAAATATTGCTAAGTATTGAGTGGCAGCAGAGGATGGGGGTTAAGAGCATAGATATCGAGTCCAGCTAACTGGCTCGAAGTCCCATCTCTACCACTTATTTGCCACATGGCCATAGCAGGGGACTTACCTTTCTGTGACCTGTCTCCCGTCATCTGCCTAGGTGATACTTATTGCCCTCCTCACAGGGTAGAAATGAGGGCTATGCATGTAAAGCATTCAGGACAGTGCCTGACATATAGGAATCCTATATAATAAAAACCTAATATGCTAAGTGTCTGGTCGTCCAGTGGGCTGTGCAACCAATCAAAGCATATATGCTAATGATATGCTCAACCGCTCGCTCTGATGTGCACTGACCACCGGGGGGCAGATGCTCCAATCAGTAGGTTAGTTTGCTGCTGGGATCCGGCCAATCCGACATACCCTGGAGCCCTCTCACGGTCCCTCCCCAGCTGACCAACTTCTTGTGTCCCTCCCTGGCCTTAATTGTGCACCAGTCAGGTCCCTCAGCCCGGCCTGCACCCTCTCACAATCTGGGACCCCTCGGGCAATGTCAGAGAGCTGGTTTCCCCCTGATGGCAGAATGACCAGTTGCTATGACGTGCACTGACCACCAGGGGGCAGACAACATAGGAGCTGCCCCCTCGTGGTCAGTGTGCTCCCACAGTGGGAGCGCCACTCAGCCAGAAGCCAGGCTCACAGCTGATGAGTTCAGCAGTGGTGGTGGGACCCTCTCCCACCTCCGCGGCAGCACTAAGGATGTCTGACTGATGGCTTAGGCCTTAGCCATCAGTCAGACATCCCCTGAGGGCTCCCAGACTGTGAGAGGGCGCAGGCTGGGCTGAGGGACCCCCCCTCGAGTGCATGAATTTTGTGCACTGGGCCTCTAGTTGCTATATAAGTGTTAACCAAATAGTCTCTACTTGGTTATTAGACAGATCATCAAAATTGATTTAGACCCAATATTAATTCTTTTTTTATGAACTGAACTGTCATAAAGCTTGAGTTGTAAATTTTTAGGCTGTTGCTGCTGTAGATGTAATGAATTGTCACTCACCCAGAGACTAGAATGACACATCTACCATGCAAATGAAGGTTGATCTAGTGGTGGCCAAGCTGAGCTCAGCTTTACAAAGAAGCTGCCTAGGAATATTTCAGGAGTTGGCCTGGCTCCTGTGTTCTCCTGTATTCAAATACAATCTCCCAGGACCTCAACACAAACCAGATGAATCCAGGGACAAGTCCAGGTGTGACAGGGCTGAGCTCCAGCTTCCCAAAACACAGAACAGCTGGCTTAAAGCCAGAGGTCAGGCTGCATACTCCTAAGGGAAGTGGTTTGCAGCTTGCCAAAATAGCAATTGAAATGAGTGGGTTTTATTTTGATGCCACCCATTAATAATAAAACATCAAGCATAACTGGTCTTGGATTACCAGGCAAATTGAAAACTAAGTTTTGTGGCTTGAATATTTCCTATCTCCTGGAACTGACAGCTGGACGTTAACTAGAATAAGTCTTGATGGTCTTGCTTTTTTAGTTTATTTGGGCTGGAAGGCATGAGCAGGGAGAAAAGACCTTCCCTGTGTGTGCTCAGCCCAGCAGCACTGTTGCTGAGAGTGGATAAGTAGGGAAGAATTAATAAAGGAGAGTGGGAAGCAATGTCTTTCTAGTTCTAGCTTGAGTTACTGTTGCTGGTTTTAAAAAATTTCCCAAAATCCAGCCACTGATTTCGGCAGTGTCTGGAACGTGGCTCAGTGTTCAGAAGAGAATAATTTATGGAGAGTAGAGAGTCGCCCTGTTTATTTTTAGAAAAACTGCCTGCAGTTTGGGAAAGACATTTCTATTCTCTTTCTCCCCTGCAAGAAAGATGTTCCCTCCTCCCCAGCGCTGGAGGAACCCCCAGGCCCCAGCTAGAGTGCCGGATGGGGGGTGCTGAGTGGGTGGCTGCTGGGAATGCTCCCGTCCTCTCCCAGGTGGCAGCCGAAGCCATACCTTTCCACTTAACTCTGCCTTCTTCAGAGTGCAGAGCAGGGGCCGAAGGGGGCGCGACTGTGACCTTCACGCTCTACTTACCTGACACCTGGACTATTGCCCTAGTAGCTCCAGCTTTGCTAACAGATGTGGAAGATGAGCAGCTGGAGGAACAGATGTAGGAGTGGGAGCCTATGGACTCTTTTTAATTCAAGAAGACACCTTCTCTTACAAGGCAGTCATAACGTATAACCTTGCCTTTCCATGGAACCGTGCTGCCTGCCCACACTTTTTAGTCTGCTTCTCCTTCCTGGGGCATTTCTGTCTCAAGCTGGGGACATACAGCCAATCTGGAGAGGCAGCTCTATTTGGGTGTGGAAAGCGGCCAAAGGAAACCTGGAATGCGGCAGGAGTGGGTGTGTGTGGCGGCCCCGGCATGAGCACTAGTGACCACGTGGCACCTCTAACGCCCCTTGTTTAGGGTCGGAGTCCTCCAAAGCTTTTGCCTTTGGGGGTGAACAGGGGTGGACTCCTCCAACGGGCTGTAATGTCCCTCAGGCAGCTAATCCTTTTTGACTGGGGCGCCTTCTCTGGACCAGCCCTAAGCCAGGCCCCATGGGCTGCTGGCCTCCAAGGAGCTCTGTGTCTTTTCATCTCCCAGCCATGATCAAGATGCAGTGTGGACCACATGCAATTAAGCACTAAATTGTGTGGTGCTCACAGAAATCAATAACCCCCAAAGCGCCTTGAGTAAGAGTTGTAAACACTGCACCACGCGTTCTATCTTGCTCTGTTTCCTAGAGATACTGAGATGGAGGTCGGACTATGTTCATAGGAGAAACCCTTTAAAAAAAAGTACAGCTCCTGTGCAAGTGGACTAGTCTGTGTCCTTGTCCCCTTTAGTACAATGCCCAGCACATGGCAGGGAGTGGAATATTTATTGTAGCTGATCCTGAGTTTTTTTCATCCAGGTAATTCTGTGATTACTTTGAATTGCCCATGTCTTGTCTTCTGGGACTTTACACCATTTACCACGGGAGCCTCAGGAAATACCTTAAAAGTGATTGAAATCCCATTATCCATGAGATGCTTGGATTCTGCTGCAAAAATGATTGGTCTTGAAAATATCGGGCCTTATAATTCCATTTGGAAGCTTGTAAACTGAGATATCAGCTGCAAACCGGCTGCCACGGGCTTCACATGGTTCCTCGTCAGCATTTATAGAGCACTAGTTGCTTTCTGAGGACACCGAGGCATAGATGCATGGTGACCTCACAGAGGGACCCAGCTTTGCCACCCTGGTTTGTTCTTATAGACATAGTGGTAGGTGGCCTTTCAAGTGGGCTTCCACAGAGCCGCTAGCATTTACAGAGCTCCTACTATGTGCCTGACACTGACTCCTTCAATCCTCACAGCAACCCTATGAGGTATGTATTATTGACTCCATTTTAGAGAGGAGTGAACCAAGGCTCAGAAGTCATATAACTTCTCCATAGTGGAACGGAAAAGTTGTTGCTAGGATTTAACTCAAGTTTATCTGATTCTGGAGTACAAATGCTAACTACCCCTGACTTGCTTGCACTTTGTAACATTTAATTCTAAGCCCTTGTCATTTTCTCAACAGACTCAACAAAATGAAACCAGGACACGTTTGGCTGCATCTCGCACTGCTTGGGGCCTCCCTGCGGGCTGCGCTGGGATGGACAGAACCAGGAACCAGCAAAGGCCCGAGCGTGGGTGCGGAGGAGTCGCAGGCAGAGGTATTGTCACTTAGCAGCTGACCTGACATTGCAAACTGGTTGCTTTACAGAATCTGGTTTACCCCTTCACTTTTAGTTGATATCAATTAGATTGCAGTGTGAATTTAAATTGGTCCCCTTCTTGGTAGGGGACAGAAGAAGCAACATGTGTTGATACGGACAGGAGGTTTTCTTCATGCTGTAAGTAATGGTCTAAATCCCTCCAACGCTGAAAATGCATTCCAAAACCCAGCTGGAGTTGCAAGGTTTGTCTTCCACAAAGACCTCAAGAGAACCGCCTTTCTGTATATTTAATAAAACCCAGAAAATGCAGACTCATGGGTGGAGCACACCCCTGTGAATTAATGAAGTCTTTTAATTATAAAATATATTTTAAGAGAAATGAACTCCTTTTCGGGTCTATAGATAAAAAGGAGCATGCTGAGAAAGAACTGGCAATTGGAGTCCTATGGGAGGCCGCCTTAATGAACAGATGAGAATGATTAATGGCCTGCTAGGTGTATATAAATGCTTCTAAAGTGCTTCGAAAACTTGTTCTCAAATACCTCCCCAGAGAGTCTGATATACTGCTAATTGCTTAGTGAACTTGGTCTTAAGTAATGAAGAGGATTCATGAACTACACCTCACCCTGCTCAGGTAGCAGGCCTCATGAATTTGGGGCTCATGGGGGACTCGGCTTTTCTGCAGAAAAGGTTTTGTAAGTGCTGAGCTTTAAGAAATGACTTTGAAGACCCCCTGGGTTTTCCCTATGATGCGGTGAATTCTGCGTCTCATCTAAGAGCTGCTCAGGGCACCTGCACTTCCGTTGTCATCCTCCACGCACACCCTTCCCCCACCCCCTGTTTCCCTCTGTGCGCATTTCCTGTCCTGTGGGATGAGAGAAAAATTACCTCAAAAAGTCAACACTGCCAGCGAGCGAATAACGGTGCACAGTGTAGGGTTGGGATAATGCATTTATTTGATCAAATGATATGATTTCTCTTTCATTATTACTTAATTGTCATGCAGTCCCAAACCTACGGGGCCTTAATCTTCAGGGAGCTTTGGAAGTAATTTGCCACACACTTTTCCTGGTGAAGTTAGCGAGGCTTCCTTTTGTGGTGAGCAGATGATTAAATAGAAACACTATCTCTCCCATCTAAATCCATGAAGGACGCAAACTTAATGCTCTTTTGAGAGAGTCTGGAGGCTGACTTGCTGGGGAGCACAGCACACTGGAACGGCTTAATCATTGTTCTCGCATCCGCAGAGAGAAATGATCACCTAAATCCTGCAAATATACTGTGGAATATTTAATAGCAGAGCAAACAGGCAAACACGTAGGTGGCTTACTTAGACTGCTTACTGTTGGGGCTCACTGGCCCACTGCTTCAAATCACTTCTTTCATTTAAAATAGTCCAGTTGATTAAGGTGGAATTTAGATGGAGGTAAATTGAAGACAAGTTCATATCAACTTAGGGTCTCTTTATCTTACCTGGGCAACACCCTAATACTCTGTGTACCAACAAGAAAGAGCAGCTACTGCTCATTCTGAGGAAGGGAGGCTGTTTTGTTTGGGGGTGTGGTTTTGCTCTTCCTCTCCCCCGATGAGGATAGAGTCCAGGAGATGCCATTGTCTGCCAGGTCTAGGGGTTTTTTTTTTCCTAATCCTCACCGGAGGATATGATGCTTTTATTGATTTGAGAGAAAGAGAGATATCAATGTGTGAGAGAGAGACATCAATTAGTTGCCTCCTGTATGTACCGCAACCAGGGATGGAGCCCGCAACCTTTTGGCGCATGGGACGATGGCTCCAGCCAACCAAGCCACCTGGCCGGGGCGCCAGTTCCAGGCATCTTGTTGCTTCCAGAAAAGGAAGTGACGCCTCTACAGACTCTTCCTGCAGATGCAACTGCATCGATCCAACTCTCTTCGCTATAGACTGAGTTTTTGCAAAGGGTTGTCCCTTGTACCCGTAGAGCCTGCTTATAGCGATGATTAAATAAGGTGATGATAATGTGAAGGGCCCAGGACAAAGGACGGCCTCAGTACATGTTTAGACAGAGACAGAACGTTTGTAACTGCTTACTTTGCTGACCTTGGTCACACTTTATGCACACGCCCCTCCCCTCCCCCACCCTTACCGCCAGGTCTTCTTGCTCAGGAGGCTGTCCCTTCTTTCCACATGCCCGAATCATCCCCTCTTCTGAGGCTCAGCTCTGGCGCTCACCTTTTATCCAGAACCTTCTTTGACCACTCTTGGTTACATTCAATCTTTTCCTCTGAACTCCTAATCTTTGCTACATTTTTTCCATAGATGAAGCCTATCTTATTTATCTTTCTCTTCCTCACAGTGTCTGATCATTTTAAGAGCAAAATAGAAACTCAGTGTGCTTCTGAGCCAATCGATATTTTTTCAATATTTTGGTGGTAGTCGTGAAGTCACGGGTGCTTTCCAAATCCCGATTAGACCACCTGGTACTTAGTGTGTGACAGCTCCCTGCACAGCGGGTTCCTTTCCAGTAGAGACATGAATGGTCTCCCCAGCAGCCTGCCAGCCAAGCCAGGCTAGTATCTTATCCACATCCAAGATAGTCCCTGTGTGAGAGGTTCTGGTAGTTTTTTTCTTTGAGTTGTAGCTATTAACATATCCATAACTCACTGCCCAAACCACATAAAACTCCTCTAGCAGTTTCCTCAGACAGTCTTATTTTCTGGAAGAATAAAAACCAACAGAGTTTCTTGAGACTCACAAAATAAATCTCAAAACCGTTTCAGGAACTAAATGGTAAAATGTTTCTGTGTGTGTTTTCTTCCTGAGAGAGTAGTAATTTACAAAACGTTCATTCGCTTAAGATTTTTAAAGTACTTGGAAAACATTAATAAGATTTGATTTGCCTTTAAAGTTGTTACACCAATTACTTGAGTGACCTAAGGGTAAATAAGAATTAAATGACCAATGCATGTGTGTTCCGACATTTTTAAAGCAATTACAGCAAATGTGAATTTTGTTAAATTGTTTCACGAACAAAGACTGCAGTTGACATAGCTTCAAGGAGTTTGCCATTTTACAAACATAGATAAAAAGAAATGTGGCTGGGTGGAGTTGCTCTTTAATAAGGATTGAGTGGCAGAATGGCCTAGAATACTAATGCAATTCTGAATTCAGAAGAAACAATTCTGAGAGATAAAACTTATTGAAATTCTGAAATAGTTATATTTTTCCCTTCCCCTATGCTCTGGCTAATATAGAAACAGGAGTAAAATCAATGTTGGTAGAATTTCATATTTGGGGGGAACCAGGAAAGTGAGAAGTAATGTGGTGGCAGCTCCAGGAACTCGCCCCCTCTTGAGAAGCAGGCATTTACTAGTATAGGAGGGCCCCCCACTTTGGGCCCTGGATGCTGTCCCCCCCCACCCCCCACTCACTGGGCTCTGGGATTGCATGGTGGCCATTACACAGCCTTATGCATCCTCCATGTGTCTTACTGAACTTTTTCAGAATTGCTCTTCCTCCTAGTTTCTAGTCCTGCACTAGACAACTGGACACAGTCATGTTGGCTCCTGTGGGAACTGTTAGCTTTGTCAGCCTCAGTGCTCACAGGCCAGAGATGAGCTTGGAGGTCAGACACCACGTGTATTTGATCTGTGCAAATTCTCATGGGAAGTCTTGGAGGAAGAACTTGTCCGGTGGTGTCAGTAATAAGGATGACTCCCCTGTTTCCTAACCCCAAGGGTCAGCCTGGGAAAGCCCCTCCTCCTTGGCTGACTGGCCCTTTCCCCTTTTTCACAAGACTGCGCTCACGGGCACGCCTGCCTCTGAGGGGATGGCTCCTCATTGCAGAGCCCTTACCTGCTCTGGCTTCTTCTGTGTTGGTTGGGCTTTCAGGAGGACTTGGGCTGCTAAGACTGGGCATTAATTAAAAAAAAAAAGTTTTTCTTAATGCGTCATTGTTCTTACACATGTGACTGTATCTAAGGCAATACTCCCCAGCCCTTTCTGGTTCTGTGCCCCCTCCTCCCCTCTCCTGGCCCTTCCTTTTGATTGGCTGCTGGGGAAGAATAGCTGATTGTCCATGAGCTGTAAGGTCTGCCCAGTGGCACCTCTGCTTACTCTGCTCCTCGTTTTGTGGGCTTGATCCTCTCGGCAGACAGACAGGTCCAGGCTGGGTGCTGGGCGTTTTCTAAGCTTCGCCTGCAGCACAGGCCTGCATGTATCTCTCCTGTGTCCCCCCCGGCATCACCCTTTCTACATACTCACTGTTGCCAACTCCAGCGCTTGACGGGCTTTCAAAGAAAATGATGGGCAAAGTGTCTCAGCAAGAGGCACAGCGGTCCTTTCGCGGGCGTGGAGCTCTGGGATTGCTGCCTGCACCCCTGCATGAGGACCAGGGCTTCTACTGCAGGTGGGGTGTGGGGCAGCCTCTTCCCTGGGCTTGAGCACTCAGCAAGGCTCTCTGCTGTGTCAGAGGGGGTGGGTTTTAGGTTTTCAGGTGACATTGGGAGAGCACGAACCCACATGTGCAGACGTGTGAGTAAATCCATAATTTTCAAGGTGAAAGGAGGTGGCGAATGCTCCAAGTTCATGGGGCTGTTGGGTGAGCTGGTTCCCACCGCAAGTTGGCGTGGGCCGGGCCCTGTGCCAGCACCCCTGGAGCTTCTGTGAGCTTGTGAACAGCCAGGGGGGCCTGTAAGTGCAGATGCTGCTGCAGTAGATCGGGGTTGGGCCTGACATTCTCATTTCTCACGAGCTCCGAGTGATGCCGCTACTCCCAGTCCCAGGGCACACTGGGCAGAAAGTTCTAGAGGCGTCCTCCCCCACGCCCCGTACACACACCCAAGAAGGAGCATCCAGCTGGTGACTAAGCCTGGCCTTTGTCAGCTCCTGCCAGCACGACAGTGCTGACAGCCGTCAGGAAGGAAAGAGCAATGTGCACGCTGCAGTCGTGCCAGGAAATAACATGATGTGGGTCGGGCCTGGGGGCGGAGACAGGTAGGTGAGGGGAAAGGGGAATTTAA